CAGAGAAGGGTTCAATCATTCATATGCAATAAAATGGATAAAAATGTTTTTTTAATGATGACAAAGAGCTTGTTTGATCAAAAGCAACACTTAATATCTCCTATCAAAGGAAGGTTGTTTTTTAATGACATGCATGCTTAAGATTTTAAAGTAAAATCAGGGAATATCAGGGGCAGCTGTCACTCTAAAGGACCCCCTTGCCACAGTTCACCTCTGCAGAGTACATCAGTTGTCAGACAGGCTCTGCTAAGTTTTATAGTTTTAGAATATTTTAAATCCTAATGTTAATATTTCCTGTGTCACAGCCATGATGTCAACACCATCTTCCAATTTCTGAGGAAATTATTTGAAATATTTAGATAATTGTATTCTCCCGAAGCAGGTTCCATTAGCATCTAGCATCAACAGAAAAAAAGTAAATGGCTACTACATGAACGCCATTGGTTTTGTGAAAGAAATGCCAAATTTGTCAAAACCGTCAGATGTCACCACCATAAGATTGTGTTCCAATGATATATCAAAATACTTAAATGTAACTCGAATAAAAGCTTTATAAACAATAACATACTGTTTGATGTGTTTGTTTTAATACAGTAATTGACTGATTCAATGTATTCGATAGTTAAAATGACACTTAACATTGTTAAAAAAGAGACAAGTTGGGAGGTTGTATCAAAGCATAGCTCAGTAGCTTAGTACATAAGATACATAAATGTAGTTTCACTTCTCTTGAGTACAAGGTTTTATTTTTTTCAATTTTGCACCCAGTTTTGTCCCACTTCTCAAGAATGATTGAACCGTTTCAGCTTAATTTAGCTTAACATCTGTGTTAACGTGATCATTTAAGCAAGTTTAGATTTAAACCCCACAGCAAGGGTAGATATTTAGGAGCAGGATTGATCACCTTGCTAGTTTACCTCACTGTTTCGGATGAGCCACTGCTTAAGGTGCATTTGCAGAATGACACCAGCTGGACTGACCTGAAAATACTGCACAAATCCTGTGCTAATAGGATTTGGACTATGTCTTATTGTAGGAGTAAACATTGTGGTCATTTACAATTTTCACTACCCTTCTTTTACTAGCGTAATTTCAGGGCAAATCAGTTCACTCAGTAATTTAATGCATCATTTTTAATTGAATTCCAAATAAAGTGGGGGACTGAATCATGTCAGCTTGAAGTAAAAAAAAAAAAACAAAACACCATAACATGAGTCAAGGTCCAGTGGAGAGGGAAAGATATTTATTTTGTAAAATAATTCAAATTCTGTATGGCTACAAGACTTGAGGCACAACCAAAAACAGCTCAAGTGTCTTTAGAACGTAGTAAAAGAGGGTCCCTACTCATACAGTGCTGGTGAAAAACAAAATGAGGTAAAGTTTAGAATGGTTTTACCCATACCACCATTTTCATAAATCTTGTAGTACTATTTGGTTTTCCAAAAAAAAAAAAAAAAAAAAAAAAAAAAAGCATTCGAGTCAATGTTGATTGAACTGAAAATAAATGTTACATAACCAACATATCACAAGTATATGTGGTCCTCTCCTGATTGATGCAGGTGATCTGAAAACACTGACATTTAGATTAATAAAATACAAATAAATATAAAGTGGAGCTGCCAGCTGACATCAACACTTTAATATAAATACTGAATCTATACAAGAAAGTTAAAATTAACAATAGCAAAAACCCAAACACTATAAAAATTATGTAACCGCTTTGTCCTCCAATAATATGTACTTTGAAACGGTTCACAAAAATACAAGCATGTCTGAACTGTGTACATTCCTCAATAATGTATCCAATTTAAAAAGACTAACTAGGATCCTCATTTGCATGTCATTTCTATTTGTTTGAAATACAGGACTTTAAATACAATCCTGTGCTCTCTCAGGACCAGTTTAAAAGGTTACAGATGACAACAATATATTCTAAATCCACATTAGCAAACAGTGAATGCCACAAAGACACAAGCTGGTAATATTCAGTATAATGCTGGTGACCTGCTCTGTTGTGGAGTGTTTACTGGTCAAATCTGATGCCACAGTATAAATCTATTCTATTTTTATAACAAGAACATATCAGGATATGACATCTGCTAACATACAAGGCAGTGGTCGGCCTAAAAATGGCTAAATCGGAGCTGCAGAGCAGGTCTAAAAGCGGTCCTCTGCAACCACACTTGAAGCTCGTTACAAAAAGCATACACTACAACAAACGCACGTCCATGATTCCTACAAGGGAAGCTCGGTCATATCTATTGTTCTAGTATATTCACAGAGAGGATTCAGGTTCTACAACCACACCATTTGGTTCAGTCACCTTTTTGGAAGCGGTCTCCACCTCTATCGAGTCCACCCCTATGCTTTCAGGCTCATCAACCTTTTTATCATCAGATTTTGTCATTACTTCATGTTCGATGGCTTGCTTCTTCCCATTTTCACCACCTCCGTTGTCTTGGTTGTCCTTTGGTGCTTTGTTGAGCTCCTCCATCTCGGTCTCAGTAATGGCCATCTCCATTTTTGCTGGAGGGTCAGGCTGTTGGGGCTTCCTTTTGATGAAGAGCATGTTACAAATGCCGAGCACAAGGGCCGAGAGGACCACCTCACACCCAGCCAGCAGGAAGACGAACATGTAATTATTTGTGGCATCCAGAAGACGACCTGTGAAACGAAACGAGAAGCATGATAAACGACCTACATGGATTGGCCAATTGTGGCGGCAGCCCTGACAGGTCACACGTCATTGTTTGGACAACTATAACATCCATTTGTTGTGTTTGTAGGTCTAAAAAAAATCCAAATAAGGAATTAACATATGGTATTGTACAAATAGAAGGCCCTTCCAACACTAAACAAAGGGTTCTTGTAAGGTACAAAAAGGGCCACCTGCATTCCAACAATATTTTAGTTTGACCATTTGCAAAGAGAAAGTGGTTTGCTTTGTAGGTAATCTAAAAGACTAGAGGAGATACTTCGGTCATGTAATTGTATGTTTTAGTCGATTCGTTGCTTATCTTAGGACTTCTTTAACAGCACAGAAACTACAGAACATAAATGACTGACCTGCTCCAGGTGGTCCCACCAACACAGCAATGGCTTCAACCAACAGCACCAAGCCAATGGCACTGGAGAACCTCTCCGTCCCCACAATGGCCATCAACACTTCAAACTGTAAGGCTCCAACCATGCCATAGGAGACACCGAAGAAGATGCAGAACACCACGAGAGATGGATAGTCTTTGGCCATGGAGCCGATAATATCAGTAGTGCCATTAAAGATCATAGCGAAACTGAAGAGGTAAACGCATCGTGGCCGAACCCACTTGAGCCCAGCGATGATACCACATGTTGGCCTGGCGAAGATATCAATGAACCCTAGTATGGTGAGCAGCAAGGCAGACTTTGTGTCCTCATTGCCCAGTTCCTTGGCATAGCTTACCACAAACACAGGAGGCACAAAAAGACCCAACACCATAATGGCCGCAGCCACAGTGTAAATCAAAAAGCCACGATCTTTAAAGACGGTGAAGTCAAGAAGCTTAGGCTTTGATTTGGATTCCTTTTGGTCCACCTCGCTTGTTTTTTTGGGTGCTTTCAAGGGCCTCATGAGGGCTCCACATGCACAGCAGTTCAGTAGAATCCCTCCAAGGATTAGGAAGCCTCCACGCCAACCATACTCATATTGAAGAACCTGACCAAGAGGAGACAAACAGCACAGAGCCACGGGACTTCCAGCTGCAGCCAACCCATTGGCCAAGGGCCTTTTCTCACTGAAATATCTGTTCAGCATGATGAGGGATGGCTGAAAGTTCAGAGCAAGACCCAAACCTGGAGAACATAGTTTGAGGGTGTTAATGCATTGAAATGAAGTGCATCAGAATTTCATAAGTATTCACAAAACAGTACTCACCGGTTATGACTCCTGTGCCGAGATAGATGTGGATGATGTTGGTTGCAAAAGATGCCATAACCATACCAAGTGAGGCAAAAAGGCCCCCGACCATCATCACAGGGCGACACCCGAAACGGTTCACTAGGATGCTGCATATAGGCCCTGCAACAAGCAAACTACGGTTAGCATGCAGAATCATGATTTCCAAGAAAGAATAGGACGATAATACTACAAGATCCTTCTTGTGGACCTGCAATTTGAAAACCCACTTAGCCACAAAATATTCTCATCTATCCCTGCTGTCAGTGGACATCTGTACCTGAGCCATAAAGCATTGCAAGAAGTATTGAGGAGATCCAAGCCGTGTCACTGTAGCCCACTCCAAACTCCCGGATAAGCTCTTTGAAGAAGACGCTGACTGCTTTGGGGAAGGCGTAGGAGAAACCTGTAATGATGAAGCAGCCGAAGAGGACAGCCCAACCCCATCCTCCATCGGGGGCCTTGACCCCACTGTCACCAGTGTCTACAACTGCACCTCCCATGATGCTTTGTCAGATCTCAACTGCAACAAAAAGAGAAGAAACGGTCTCATAAAATCATTTAAAACAAAAAGCTAATAGACACCTGGTCCTTTGTAAATCTATATGTGAACTCTGAAACTATTCATCTGGATACTAAGAACAACTGTGGAATTTTGTACTACACATGTACAAGAAATAAAATAATTGTTTTTTTTTTAATGCAAGGCAGTTAAACCACTTAAGTATTACCACTACCACTATTACTTAACTTACTATTAGAGACATGCAAGTAAACAAAAAAATAGAGTTTGCTCAACGCGTTACATATATGTGGAAATTAGTGGATCAAGAACCGTGATGTAGAAGAGCTGCATTTGGTGGAATTTTGTACGAACATGTACAAGAAATAAAATAATTGTTTTTTTTTTAATGCAAGGCAGTTAAACCACTTAAGTATTACCACTACCACTATTACTTAACTTACTATTAGAGACATGCAAGTAAACAAAAAAATAGAGTTTGCTCAACGCGTTACATATATGTGGAAATTAGTGGATCAAGAACCGTGATGTAGAAGAGCTGCATTTGGTAAGAGAAAGTCATGCAACCAATATATGTATGACCTACCTTGCTTAAGGTCCTTGAAAACTGATTCTCTCTCTAACTGTTCTGAACCTCCCACATATCTACCTCATCTAGATGCAACCAGGGGGTGGGGGCTGAGGGGCACACCTCTGTACCCTACCAGCCTAAATTAAGACTCTGACATTTCTCCATGTGGTACTGATTGCAATAACCAGAATCACCTCCCATGAGGTTAAGAGTAACTTGTCTCGTATTTATCCTCATCTTATGTAGGTTTTTATACAAAATTTATGGTTGGGATTTAAATTATGTTTGCTTAAGGAGGAATTATGTAGGGTTAGGATTCATTTTAGAAAGGCCATTGAATTGTTTCTCTGAAACAGGTCACAGCTGGCACTGACTGTTTGTTAATTATGGATGCTTCTTGTCACGTCCATACTAATTAGCAAAACAGCTGATTCTAATCTGTCAATTGCAACGCAATGACAAGAAGATTACTGCTTGTATTTTTTCATTGATTTTTAAACATATAAGCAATGTACAGTCATGGCCAAAAAGTTTTAGCAGTGACATAAATGTTGTGTTTTGCCAAGTTTGCTGCTTCAGTATTTGTAGATTATTTCTCCACATGTTTCTATGGTATACTGAAAAACAATGATATGCATTTCATAAGTTTTAGAGGCTTTTATTGGCAAAAAAACATAAGAGTCAATATTTACAGAGTTGACCCTTGTTATTCATAACCTCTGCAATTCGCTCTGGCATGCTTGATATTAGCTTCTGGGCCAAATCCTGACTGATGGCGATCCATTCTTGCCTTATTAGTTCTTGGAGTTGATCACAATTTGTGGGCTTCTGCTTGTCCACTCGCCTTTTGAGGACTGACCACAGGTTCCCTAGGATTGAGATCTGGGGATTTGCCTGGCCATGGATCCAAAATTTCAATGTAATGATCTTCGAACCACTTCTTCATCACTCATGCTTTGTGACATGGTGCTCCATCATGCTGGAAAATGCACAGATCATCACCAAATTGCTCACGGATCGTAATTCTTCCCTCCTTTTATAGCAATCAGTCTGCTTTTACAATCTATATAGTATGATAGTCATTTCATCTGACTAGTACTCATTCACACTTTCACATGTGCTGCTGATATTAGTCAAATAATGTTAGCTGGTCATTTTGTGTAAGGATAAAAAAAACTGAAATTAGTTTTTTGTGAAAAGTTCATTTTTTGGCCAAGGAAGCTTTTAGCAATTATTTAAAATGCATGTGATCACTCTACAATATAATCTAGAAACAATGTGAATGAACACCACAACAGCTTAAGTCTTTTGGCCATGACTGTATATCCTATAGGTCTGTGTGTGACACCACTCCTAATTTTATTGTTGTTTTTTTATTATAGTTAAGAATGGTATTGATGTAGTAATAAGGATAAGTCTGAGAAGGGAATTAAGGCAGATTTACATTATACATTACAGCCTCCTCTGGCCTTCCTCCCCCTACAATACTCCATGGTGGACGTGATTTTCACAAAGTGCAACATGTTCCTGGATCAACATCCATCTTGATCCAGGAACAACATTCCAATCGACCAATCAGAATTGAGAAATAAGTTTACAGGAAATGTCAGTGTTAGCCTTACAACCACAGTTAGGTGCTTCTACACCCTTGTCATTCATTTCCCACTGATTTTAGGGATAAATTATGGGTAGGGTTAGGTCTATATTTTTGGAAAATAATGTTGATCCAGGAACATGTCTGTCTTTTGCAAAATCACGTGACCCTAAGCTATATATATATATATGCGTGTATATAACTATATATAATATGTGTGTGTGTGTGTGTGTGTGTGTATATATATATATATATATATATATATATATATACACACACACACACACACACACACATATTATATATAGTTATATACACGCATATATATATATATAGCTTAGGGTCACGTGATTTTGCAAAAGACAGACATGTTCCTGGATCAACATTATTTTCCAAAAATATAGACCTAACCCTACCCATAATTTATCTCTAAAATCAGTGGGAAATGAATGACAAGGGTGTAGAAGCACCTAACTGTGGTTGTAAGGCTAACACTGACATTTCCTGTAAACGTATTTCTCAATTCTGATTGGTCGATTGGAATGTTGTTCCTGGATCAAGATGGATGTTGATCCAGGAACATGTTGCACTTTGTGAAATCACGTCCACCATGGAGTATTGTAGGGGGAGGAAGGCCAGAGGAGGCTGTAATGTATAATGTAAATCTGCCTTAATTCCCTTCTCAGACTTATCCTTATTACTACATCAATACCATACCAAAATAAGAAATGCGCTGTGTAAATTAGTTCAGAGCGCGCGTTTGCGTACCTAACGTTACATGGCTGACAGCGTTAATGCACAATTACCATTTTAGATCGACAAACAGTAGTGCATGAGATTTCTATTCAAACTGAAAGCATAAATCTTTATGATCTTTAGCTAAATGACTAAATGTCAAGAACCCAATGATTGGAAGCGATTCTTCCCTCCTTTTATAGCAATCAGTCTGCTTTTACAATCTATATAGTATGATAGTCATTTCATCTGACTAGTACTCATTCACACATGTGCTGCTGATATTAGTCAAATAATGTTAGCTGGTCATTTTGTGTAAGGATAAAAAAAACTGAAATTTGTTTTTTTGTGAAAAGTTCATTTTTTTTGGCCAAGGAAGCTTTTAGCAATTATTTAAAATGCATCTGATCACTCTACAATATAAATTTGAAAATGAAAAATTAATAAATTTAAAATAATTGCGGTTCAAATTAAAATAATAAAAATATTAGCATTTTATTTTTAAGTTTACTATAAAATAATTGTATTTGTATTTAATACTCCCTGTTTATTTTAAAATAAAATAGTATTATCACACTTTATTTAGTTTGATTTTATTTTATTTTTAAACTAAATAAAGTGCAATAATATTATCACTATAATTAATTTATTTTTGTATAGTTATATTTGATGGGTCACACCATGTGCCGTCGTGTGAGGACTGGTCATTTTGTGTAAGGATAAAAAAAACTGAAATTTGTTTTTTTGTGAAAAGTTCATTTTTTTTGGCCAAGGAAGCTTTTAGCAATTATTTAAAATGCATCTGATCACTCTACAATATAATCTAGAAACAATGTGAATGAACACCACAACAGCTTAAGTCTTTTGGCCATGACTGTATATCCTATAGGTCTGTGTGTGACACCACTCCTAATTTTATTGTTGTTTTTTTATGATTATAGTTAAGAATGGTATTGATGTAGTAATAAGGATAAGTCTGAGAAGGGAATTAAGGCAGATTTACATTATACATTACAGCCTCCTCTGGCCTTCCTCCCCCTACAATACTCCATGGTGGACGTGATTTCACAAAGTGCAACATGTTCCTGGATCAACATCCATCTTGATCCAGGAACAACATTCCAATCGACCAATCAGAATTGAGAAATACGTTTACAGGAAATGTCAGTGTTAGCCTTACAACCACAGTTAGGTGCTTCTACACCCTTGTCATTCATTTCCCACTGATTTTAGAGATAAATTATGGGTAGGGTTAGGTCTATATTTTTGGAAAATAATGTTGATCCAGGAACATGTCTGTCTTTTGCAAAATCACGTGACCCTAAGCTATATATATATATATGCGTGTATATAACTATATATAATATGTGTGTGTGTGTGTGTGTGTGTGTATATATATATATATATATACACTTTTAATAGTAGCAGTGCATTTTTTTTCCCCCCTTGAGGTGGTAGGCTGATTGAGCATTTTGGTTCATTTCAGGATGGGACACTGACAACATTATAGATTTAAATGTCATATATGCTCATATATGCATATAACTGCTCAAAAGGCTGTTCGAGACGAACCTCAAAAATTGCGCCCATACATTTTCCTATCGAAATAACTTTGTGAAATCGACTCCCCTGTCAAATTTGTAAACTTCATAATTACATGAATTAATATGTCCTTCTGTCTCTAGATACTTGCATGAAGAGCATCTGATGCGCCGGTGGCGCTCCCTGGTCTACGTGCTAAACGTGACATTTATACTCTCTCTCCTCTGCCAATAAGCCCTCAACTAACAACTACTCAACGATTACATTACATGCTGTGAAAATATCAGACTAGTATATGACAATTGTATCGGTGTGTGGATAATTCACGATATAAGCTTTTAAAATGTTTGTGTTTATCACATGGCGTATATTTTCAACGATAAATAGACAAAAGAACATTATTTCTGTTTCTGAACCGAAACCTGTTGGCTACTTTTCATCAGTCAGTCTCCATAGCAGCCCACCGGCATTCAGCATCACCCATCCCGACGACACAAACATTTTCTCTGAACACATGTTGACATATTTAGAGGCATCAGTCCTCACATACATACCTTAACGATGCTCTTCGATTAAGGTATTTCACTGATGATGCCCTCCTAGGACCAGGACCAGGACCATCATGTTCGCACGGCACTCATCTTTTGAAGAGGCATTGAATGGGTTCCGCTCCTCTGACTGTGTTCTGTCACCAATGAGTCACTTGAGTTACTGATAGGGATGGGCGTATCGATGATATATCGATACTCGAGTATCGAAAGTATCGATACTCGAACAAAAAATATCGATACTAAGGTGTGTTTTATTTACCAGTGATTTTGTTTATTTAACAAAAAAATTATAATGCGTACAATATGCATTGAATTGGACGAATAACCTTTGTTGGCGAGTAATTGTGTAGGATATAACTATTTTCCTGCTCATCTGAACAAACGCAAATGTTGCAAGACAGAACTAATCAATCAAAGTTCACGCACTTACATTCAAACAGGGCTGCTGTTCCCAAAAGTATTATAAGAAAGCGTTAAAGCTTTTGGGAACGGCAGCCCTGAACAATGCTTATCAGAGGACAGAAGGACAGCGTTATTTCATAATAAATAAACTGAAATTGTAGCATAGTGTGTGCAATTACAGTTATTTAAATTGAACGTTGAAAGATAATATTGACCATGTTCTATTCTGTAATGTTAATAGAAGACGTGCAGCCCATGTTTTTCCCCACCTCTCTCTCCTTCTCTCAGGGGATTTACGGACCTTCTCTTCATTTATGAAGCATCAGCTTGTTTCTCATTAGGTGCTGAACAAAAACGTGCAGCCCATGTTTTTCCCCACCTCTCTCTCCTTCTCTCAGGGGATTTAAAGGGGATTTACGGACCTT